AGCAAATTCTTTAAACCATTTTTTGTAAGGGCAAGGAGTGTGGCTCAGTGGGACAATATTTGCCTAACCTGCTGGGTTTGACCTCCCAACACTGCAAAAAAAAATCAAAAATTAAATATCTTTATAAATATGGTCATGGATATAAAAGAAAATGTAGGCATAATGAGGTGAGAAAAGGAAGACATAAAGACACATCTGAGGCTGGTGTGGTGGTTCATGCCTGTAACCCTAGCACTTAGGAAATTGATCAGAAGAATGGATGCAAATTTGAGGCCAACTGGGGCTACATAGCAAGATCTTGACCAAAAAAAATTTAAAAAACAAATCTATTCATGACTTGGCCTTTTGTGATCACCAAATGCTTCTACAAAACACTGGATCTGGTGACCAATATCACTGAACTTCAGTCTTCTTTTTTATTAAGAACCCTGAAGAAATTCATGCTTTCATTGTAGAGTGTATAAACTGAGGTAAAAGAAAAACAAACGGATTTTTTGACTAATTTCAAATTGAATATACCTGACTCCATTTGAATTCTAAAACACTTTCCTTGTCCATTTTCCGTTGCTACTACAAAATACCTGAGGCTGGGCCATTTGTCAAGAAAGAGATTTACTTATTTCATGGATTGGGAAGCTAACAGCCTGTGTAGCATGAGGCTGTCTCTAGCAAGGGCTCTGGCTACACCACATGGTGGTGATATCATAGCAAGAGGAGACTGAGAGGTGACACAGGAAGCCAGAGAGTGGGATAGCCATGCTCTTGTTTATATAAATGAAACAAGCTTCACTTAAAAATTTTAGCTTTCGTGCAAATAAGGACAAAAATGTATAAAACATATTGGGAAATGGGAAGAAAATGTTCAAGTGAGATGGAGAACAAGGAAAGGGGGAAGGTGCAAAGAAAGAAGAACACAGAGAAAAAACAGAAACAAAGCTTTTGTGCAAAAGGAGGGAAGGCAAGGTTGAAGGGAGGGGAGGAAGAATGGACAATAAAAGGAGAAACAAGACATATCACGTACAGATTCCCGATGGTGGAGCCACATCATGTCCTTGGGCTGTCCACTGTACATGCAAGTGTCCAGCAGTACCCAGGACACACAGCAGGTGCGGCTTCCCAGTGACACCTACTGTATGTGCACAATCCAAAACTATAGTTAGAAAATGGCTCAGATTTTCAGCTGCTTTTCCCAGAACTCCAAGATCGCTTTCCTGTTTATCTTGGTGGAATGCCTATGTTGTACTTGTGATTTTTCTGTTCTCTGCAACGCATTCAAACAAGATTGTCACTGATGAGGAGACAAGAAGTCATTCTTTACAATCAGATGTTTGACTTCCTATGCAGAAAAGATACTTGGATGTGAATTTTTAACATTTTTAAAGGAGAAATAGAGCTAGTCTTGTGAAGGTAAATTCCTTTCACTGCTTCCCAACAGAGTCATTTCTAAATTTATCTCCTCTTCAGTTCTGCCCTGGCACTTACTCTCTGCATTTTATCGGTATTTATTGAGTCTCTGGTCAGTGGTCAGTCGCAGCTGCTTTATAGTTTAAGGAAACAGTCCTAGAAGAACAAAGGGAAGCAAGAGCAACGCCAAATAGTGTTAGGAGATGAGGATACTTTTAATTTTCATTTCATAATTTTTTTTGCAGGGGTAGGGACTGGGGATTAAATCCAGGGTCTTCACGCTGAGCTACACCATCAGTTTTTTCTCATGCTTTGTTTTGAAATAGTGTCTCAATTGTGAAAAGTGGGGCTTCAACTTGCAATTCTCCTGTCTTAGCCTCCTGGGTGCTGAGGTTACAGGAATGCACCACCACACATGGCCTCATCCTTCAGTATCTATGACTGTGTTCTTGCTTAGGGTGCAGTATTCAAATCAAACCCAGAATAATTCCTGGTATTGAGGAATATGAGCCTATGCTCACGCCAGAGTAAATCTAGGCAGCAAGTGCTACTGATCATGTCATTTTAATAAGCGGGACACGCACTGCTTCACTTTCTTTGTGTCATTTCCTGTTAAATGGACTGGATAATAATTCCCACCTGGTAGTATTAAAGACAGATAAGTTAGGTAAAAATAGTAGAGGCAGTCAGACAGGGCTAGGCCCTTCAAGGAGTCAGTACAGAAGATGGTGAACACATTACACCTGTAGCAGGAGACACATTCATTGAAGGCCAGGTCTCAAGACAAAAATGAAATTACATCTACTTCAGGAGTAAACAGCAATGATTGATATTTTAAATACACATCAGTCACCTGCATGGAGGACCAAGACCCTGACCCATCCATTCCAGGAAAGGTCTTGTTCTTTCTGTGCATGGTTGCTATGTGACTTGCTTCCCCATTGGATCAATATTACCTAAGCAACTATATTAGTAATCTTATTGGTTGATCATAGTTTTGTTCTACCTTATACTTGCTTCTTGATTCTGCTCTATAAAACTTCCTTTGAGAACTGGGCTCATGGGCAACCTACTTTCTCTTTGGCAGAAGCTACCTTCCCTCAGTAAGTATTTTCTGCTCTTAACCTCTGTTGTTTCTTGGAATTCATTCTTTGAGCCAGGTGTGGTGGTGCATGTTTGTAATTCCAGCACTCAGGAGGCTGAGGCAGGAGAATTGATGAGAATTTGAAGTTAGCCTGGGCTATACCATGAGTTCAAGCCCAGCTCCTGAACTGCAAATTGAGACCCTGTTTCAGAGAGAGAGAGAGAGAGAGAGAGAGAGAGAGAGAGAGAGAAGAGAGAGAGAGAGAAAGAGAGAGAGAGAGAGAGAGAGAATTCATTCTTCGATTTTGGGGAACATAAATTCAAGTACTAGACATCTAGCAAGTTGAGTTATATTTCCCTTATATTATTTGGATTACTTGAGGTTAGATGATATAGATATCATCTCTATATCAATAACATTGTTTGAAGATTAAATTAGTATTTGTAAAATGCTTAGAACTGAGTTGTTTATAAGCACCCTGTGTTTATAAAATGAATTCCTGCAGCAGTGTGAATCTTCGCTGTACACATAAATGGTGACTGCTACAATGCAGACCTACAACTGCCTCAGTAGTTACTGAGGTCTACAACCTCCTTGGTGGACTTACAGATGGCAATTACTATATATTCTGCCATCAAATAGGATGGTGAAACTTCACACAATAGGAACTAGCTCACAAATTACTAAGCCTGCAAAATGGGAATGCTGTGTAGCACCTGCCTGGCAAGCTCCAGGCCCTGAGTTCAATTTCCAGTACGAAAAAAAGAAAAATGCAGAAATGCTGAAATTGTCAATCTTTGGAAACACATATACACATATGTATATATGATTTTTTTTTTTTTTTGTAGGTAGTCTCACTATGTAGTTTCAGCTGGTCTTGAATTCAGTAAAATAGCCCAGGTTGGCCTCCTACTGGTAGGGATCCTCTTGCATCAGCCTCCTGAGGGCTGAGATTATAGTATATATATATATATATATATATGTGTATGTATGTATATATACTTGCTATGCAGTTCAGGCTGTTCTTGAACTCATTATGTAGCACAGGCTGGCCCTGAACTCAAAATACTTCTGCCTCAGCCTCCCAAGTGCTAGATCAAAGGTGTTTGCCACCACACCTGGCTGGAGATACTTGAAATAAATATTGTATAGTTGTTCTACTGACGAAAATCTTTAGTAGTGGTATGGTATTTGACTAAGGGTGTTTAAGATATACGTTCAATTTGTGGTATTTGCATACTTACTGGTACAAAGTAGCTAATAGATTTTGTATGTTTTCATTTTTATTTCCTTGTCCGGGGGATCAAATTTGTGATATTTTTGGTTTTTGAGACAGAGTGTGGCTATGCCCTTCAGGCTGGCTTTGAACTGTTTACCCTCTAGCCATTCTCCTGCCTCAGTCTCTCTCTCCAGAGTGATGGAATCAGGCCTATGCTGCCACACTCAGCTAGATACAAACATCTATTAAATAGATTTAAAGACTATAAACATATGTCACAGGCCTATTTTCAATACAAATGGCAGGTGGAAAGCCCCCCTGGAATAATTTTGGGATCCACACTCCCCTTCTTGTGGTACTGAGGTTTGGATCAAACTCACAACGTCTTGCTTGCCAGGCAGGTGCTTGTGCCAGAGCTATATTCCTGACCCCTGTGGCCTTTTCACTGAGCTCCATCAAGACCTTTTATAATTTTTTCTATTTTGCTAAATTCCACAGTCTGGGCTTGAATTTACAATCCTCCTGCTTCAGCCTCACACTCTGGGGTTGGGGGTGTTTGTATTTTGTAAAACAAATAATGGTATATATTCGTGTAGCACAGATTCTATTAAAGAGATCATTTGAAAAATAAAAAATGTAAATCCTTAAGGCCAAAAAAAAAAATCATTAATGTACCATCATGACCCACTTCTCGAAAAGAGCGCTAGTTTCTACCTTAGACTCTGACTGAAAGGAGCATTGGTCTTCATCGGGGTTTGACCCCAGCGGGTTAGCAAGGTTTAGGGTTTTGAGCAGTAAAAATTAAAATAAAAAGCAAAACGGAGAAAAGCCCTTGCTTTTCGAGCTCATACTGGGGTCCCGAGGTGACACTGGTGCCCTGCGATCCCACTGGGAAGCCCCCGAAGGCCGCCCACGGCGCCGCGGCTTGACCCAGAGCCCGCTGCTTCCCTCCCTTAGATTTCCGTTTCCTCCGCCGCGGAAGCAAAGCCGGCCGGCCTTGAGCGCGCCCCGCGGGCTCGGCCTGGAGCGCGCCCGGCAGGTGGAGGCCGCGCGGCCGGCGCAGGCCCGGGCGGAGCCGCAAAATGCGGGGCGGCACAGGATTGAGGGCCCAAGACGGACGCCCGCGGCGCGCGCAGCCTGTGCTCGGCCCCCGCCCCTCCCCGCCCCGCCCTCTCCCCGCCCCCTCCCCGCCCGCGCCCCGCCCGCGCCGCGCGCCCGGGTCGCCGGGCCGTGGTGTACGTGCGGCGCGCGCGGAGCGAGTGGCGGCGGCCCGCGCCCTGCCCCCGTGCGCCCTGCCCGCCGTGCGCGCTGCCGGAGCCCGGGCGGCGGCCAGCCGGGTCCCGCCGGCCGCGATGCGGCGCTGAGGGCCTCCGGAGCGCGGGGCCCGGCATGACGCGCTGACGGCCCCTCTGCCGCCCCGGGCTGGCCGCCCGGCCTGCTCCGCCATGGCGAGTGACAGCGGCGGGCTCAGCGGGCTCAGCGGGCCGAGCGCCAGCGAGCGCGAGCGCCAGTACTGTGAGCTGTGCGGGAAGATGGAGAACCTGCTGCGCTGCGGCCGCTGCCGAAGCTCCTTCTACTGCTCCAAGGAGCACCAGCGCCGGGACTGGAAGAAGCACAAGCTCGTGTGCCAGAGCGGCGAGGCCGGGCCCAAAGGGGTTCCCGGGGCGGGGGGAGCGGCCCGGACAACGGCGGGGCCGCGCGGAGACGGCGCCGATCCCGCGTCCGCGCCCACCCCCGGGGACGCCGCCGGAGGCCCCCGCGGAGGCCGCCGCGACCCCGAGGCGCCCCCGGCCCGGCGCTCGCCGCGCCCGGAGCGCACTCTGCTGAGCCCCGGGGTGGCGCTGAGCCCTGGCGGCGGAGCCGGGGGACCGCGGCCCAACGGGCAGACGAAGCCGCTGCCCGCTCTGAAGCTGGCGCTGGAGTACATCGTGCCGTGCATGAACAAGCACGGCATCTGCGTGGTGGATGACTTCCTGGGCCGCGAGACCGGGCAGTTGATCAGCGACGAGGTGCGAGCGCTGCATGACACCGGCAAGTTCACGGATGGGCAGCTGGTCAGCCAAAAGAGCGACTCGTCCAAGGACATCCGAGGCGACCAGATCACCTGGGTAGAGGGCAAGGAGCCCGGCTGCGAAACTATCGGGCTGCTTATGAGCAACATGGACGACCTCATCCGCCACTGCAATGGGAAGCTGGGCAGCTACATGATCAACGGGCGCACGAAGGTGAGTCGGGGGCGGTCGGGAGGGAATGGTGACTAGGGCTTGAGGACCGGTCGGGCCGTGTCCGCGCGCTCTGCTCTATGGAGCGCCAGCCTACCCCAGGCGCCCTGCTCTGCAATATCAGTCGCGCTGTAAATCTAGCTGTAGTACCCGTAGCTACTAGGCGTGTGCTTATCCCACTCTGACCGATCGTCGGACGCTCAGCGTTCAGTTGTGAACGGGTGGGCGGAACTCAAAGGAGCACCCTGAGCATATCAGGGGTAAAGATTCCAGCATCCAGGAAGAAAGAGGTTGGCTGCATCCCTTACAGCTCGGTCATGCTTCTAATCCCTAATGTTTTGTAACACGCTACCTAGCAGGAAAAGAGATATTTCCGTTTGCACGTGTGGGTGGAGGCAGGTTGCATTTGTAGCACTAGGTTACCTCGTTTTGCTTTGTTAATGTGATCGCTGTGTTCAAAAAGAGCTATTCAGTAGCTTCTTGGGAAACTTGCAGTACGGAATTGGGGCAGGAGGGGATTCGCTAGGTTTTGCTTTGGCAAAATCTTGTTGCTTTCATCTTTGCTTTTGCAGTCCACTCACCTCAGTGGGCAGCGTTTGCCCTGCCAGACCCTCCTCCCGCCCGGCGAGGTAAACACCAGAGCTGCTGCTACTCCTGCAGCTCTTTGGCATCTTACTTTCCAGAACTAAATATTTTCTTTGTATCCCGCTCCAGGGCCACCCCACTGTACCTCGTCCACCGTCAGTCGCAGATGTGAGTTTTGAGAGATTGTCTCCTGGGAAGTTATCACAAGCACTTGTTCATACACAGCCCGTTTCTTCCCCATCCTGCGCGTTGTGCGTGTGCGTGCGCGCGTGTGTGTGTATGTGTGTGTGTGAAACTGCCTTGACAGTGTGTAACTTTCAAGCTGTCCAAAAGGCTGAGAGACCACAAGTACAGTTCTGAAGGGGAAAGTTTTGTGGGGAAAAACAGTGTGAGATCTGACTTAAACGTTTTTCAGATGTGTTACAGCATGGAAGCACACTAAGTAGTTTTGGAGAAAAGTGATAATCATTTAAAATTAAGCTAAAAAGGAAAAAGAGTTCAATTAAGCCTCAGGCTTGGTCGTGCACAAGGTTTTCATTTACATTTAAAAAGAAAGGTTACCATGGATCAGGAGTCTCAGCATAATCCTGAACTCAAGAGCAGGAAGGGAATGAGAGTGGGAAATAGGGTTGAGCATGTGGACATTGAGCACATCCTGTGGTGGGGGCCTGAGTTTAAATTGGAGCCATGCAAAGCGTGGTGTCCTAGATCTTTCCTGATCTGCTTTCCACAGGTAACTCACTTTGTAGTCAGGCTGAGACCTCTTCTCTCCTATCTTCTTCCTCGCTGGTCCTCTGGACAAGTCTGGCCTCTTTAGGGAAGCTGTTAGGAAATGTCATCCTTCTTCCTCATGGTCGGGGGTGGGGTGGGGGGCTGGGATCTAAAGTAAAAAATAGGGCTTTAAGTCACTGACTGGGCTCTTACTGAATAAGCAACTAGATAAAGGAGGTATGGGCTTTTTAATACTGTTTGGGTTTGGTTTTATGTCTACCTTAAAGTTGGGGACTGGATTTCAGGATCTGCAAATGGTTTTAGGGAATTCTTTTCCTTGTACTTCTTGGCTGAAGGAGATTTAGTAATTACATTTAAACGTGCATATATGTATTCCTTAAAAAACAAGGGTAAATGCCTGCCTGACAAGCATGAGGTCGTGAGTTTGATTCCTAATTCAAAAAAACAAAAAAATAACAACAACAAAAAAACAAGGGTGCTTGCTTTGGGGGAATGAGAAGTAATCAGCACTCCCTACAGCCATTGAGCAACCATAAGTTACTAGGAACCAGATTAGGTGCGGTGCAGACCAGTCACAGTAATCTTAATCCTGTGAAGTGGATAGTGTTACTCCTAATTTACATTCGGGGAAGTTTCAGCCCAGACTTGGCCAAAGCTTACTGCTTTCCAAAACCTGGCTGAGAGTCCAGCTCAGGTGAGTTAGAGGTGGAGCCCATGCTTTTCCTATTATCCTGAGTGCAGGTGAGATGTTGGATGAGCAGGTGTTCATTACTTTACACACGGCTGGAGTTGAAGTTTGGTTTACATTTTTGTTGATAGCAGGCAAATAAGATTAGCTTTGTATGTGAATAATCACCTTCCTTGCTCGGGCTGTGTACACTTTTTATTAAGACACTAAACAATGTTTGTTTCATGCAGTGACTTGAAAGCCACTTTATATTTAACTACCTAAATCACACTCACTTAATTATAACTCTTAAGGCATGTCAGAATATAGTTATTATGTGTGATTGCAGAGGGGGCTTCAGTAAAGAATCTTATTATCCTTCATAATATTATACCCAACTTTAAAAATTCTTTTCTTAATGTGTACTGCTGTTCACAGAGGCAGGTGGGTGGTTTCGGTGTCATGGCTGGCTGTGGATGAGGAAAGGGGACTAAGAAGCTTGTTTGCTTGTTGGAGACCTAAGTTGTGCTTCTGACCAAGCATCTAGTGTTTTTTTTTTCACTGACCTGGTCTCTACTGCAAGCTCTGTGTGTGTGTCAGGGCCTGGCAGTCTGGGGGCGTGTGTTGGCTGTTGGCTCACACAGTTCGGGCTTTGGTTTCTGCTTCTGACTTCTTGCCTGCTTATCTGGCCACTGTTTATCCAGCTAGTTTAAAAGAGGAACCACAAGGAAGGGTGAAGTAATACAGGAGAAAAACAAACCCACTTTTGCCACTGCTGTGACTGGGTTCTGCAGTCCACTTTCTCTCTCTTTGGGATTTCCCCTTTTACCCTTACACTGCCCTTTGATTCTTCACCCTCTCTCCTGCCAGGAGTCCTGCAGGGGTGTCCAGTAGAAAAGAGTGCAGTCTGCTGTTCATTGCAGAGGTCTTGAGGGCTTCTAGAAATTCACAGGAGCCTTGACTGAGTGCAGGCAAAAGGACTGCGGATAGTCCTGGGGAAACAGAACTTTATCATTGCATTTCTCTGAAGAAATCATGTGTATACCATTTAACCCAAACTTCATCTGGTCAGTTTGATATATGTAGGAAAAGTAACAAAATAGCTTGAGATCAACTGCAACAGTTTTCTTTAGTACTGCAGTTAATTAGTCAGTTCTGGCTGATAGCCATGTTTTAGAGTAAAGAATAGAATGAGGCACATCTGCTGCTTTATTGTTGGTACCATTGAGATGTGGTGACAGCCTTCCTAGAGGTGAAAACAGGGAGGACCAGAGAGGAGACCAAACCTGACCATGCGCCTTTGAGCTTAGCTTCTAGCCCTCAAACTGTGAGAAATGAACTTAGGGTATTGAAGTCTAAATAAATACAAAATTTCTTCTCTATTTCTGCTACCCTTGTTCTCCTCTTGGAATCTTGAGCATTATGGATTGAAGTAGCCTGCTGATGGTTAACAGCTGCATCAGAATTCAAGGTCAGTTCAGTTATCCTGCATGCAGACAGACTGGGAATGCTGCACCTGCAGCCATCCTGGCCGCTGCTGAGCTGGTGCTCCCTGCAAGGGTAGACTTGCTATGCAGTGAGCCAGGTTCAACTCTATGGGAACATACTTCCAAATAACGAGTTAGTTTACCTGTAAGTGAACACCTTGAGTCCTAAAGATGTTTTATTTCAAATTAAAAGCTTTTTGGGGGACATGATTACAGCTTTTTGTTGTTTTTTTTTTAAGTAAGTATCTACATTTATTAAAGATCATGGGACAGTAGCAGGAAGAAGGGTGCAGAGAAAAAGAGGGTGAGGGGAAAAAAAGGGCTCTACATGTTTTTTATCTTTTACCTGATAAGTCTAAGAAACATCCTGAACACCTGTAGTTACCTGAGGAAGGAGAGAAGAGCTATTAGTTATCAATATAGAAGGATAAAGGTGGTGTTTGTTTGTTTGTGTGTTTGTTTTGGCACCAGGAATACAAACTCCGGGACTTGTGCTTGCCAGGCAGGCACTGTGCTGATCTGAGCTATATCCCTGGCCCCAAGGATAAAAAATTCTGCGCTCCTTTTAGATCTAAGTTGGACCTTGGGTCTGTTGTTAGAGTGCACTCTGAGTCAGTTATTGGATCTCTGAGTCTCACTTCTACCATTTATGAAATGGTTTTGTGTTTGTTTTTATTGTTTTGTTCTTTTTTGGGAGATTTCAACCTGGTTTTGAACTCACTTTGTAGCCTAGGCTGGCCTTGAACTCTCAACAGTCCTCCTCCCTCAGCCTATTCAATGTTGGGATTGCAAGTATATGCTACCGTACCCAGTGGAAATTAAATGATAACTTTTTCTGCCTCTCAGTCTTGGAGTGAGGAGTACATATAACCCATCTTGTAAAGTACTTTCTGAATTGTGAAGCATTACAAAGAACTGTGTTAACTATTACTCTTCTCATTTTATTAATTAATTTATTTCTGAGGTGAAGTCTTTCTGTGTAGTTCAGGCTTGCTTTCATCTCATTATATAGCCTTGACTGGCCTCGAACTCTTGGCAATCCTCCTGCCTCAGCCTCCTGAGTATTATAATTACGGGTGTGCAGCACCACGGCCAGCTTCTCATTTTAAAAGTCTTTTTTTTTTTTTTTTTTCTGATTCTTTAAGAGTTTTTTATTCCTTCATTAAGAAACTGTAGAAAAGGGGCTTCCCTGCCCCTGCCTCCCACCCACATTTTTTTAAAAATAGGAAACACTGTGAGTCCCAGAGACATTGAGTGAATTGTTCAGGGACCCAGAGCTGCTTAGAACAAAACTGGCCGGTGTTTGGTTCCACTCAATCTTCCATCAGCATCTCGTATAGAAGTCACATATTCCTGCTTAGCTGAGTTGACCTGTTTCTTGCCATTTGGGGTGTTTGTGACTTCCTTTACCTTCCCTGCCCCACTTTGTCATTCTGTACTTGGCTGATCTGACCCCAGTGGAGCTTTTCCTCTGGTAGAGGATCGCAGTGGCCTGCTTCCTCGCTGGAGAGACATGCGTCTCCACAGCTGGC